AGGGACTGGAGCACTTGAACAGGAGACCCTGTTTTTTGAGATTTTTTATGATCAGCAGGAGGTCTCTTTAGATCTCTGGCTTTAATCAGTATTGTTTTTGATGACAGAACTTGAGGGGATCTTTTAGGGGAACCCAAACAGGAGGGACTGTCTTGGTCCTTACAATGGTGGAGCCATTCATACAGACTGATGGGTCCACTTGTTCCTCAATTATAAGCATGCAGAAATACTCTCTGAGGGCAGTAGTATTTGGACTTTAAGCTTGGACAGGAGGTCCCTTCCCCACAAGGGGATAGGAGTCTCGGGGACTAGTAGAAATGAGTGGCAGAAGTAAAGCTTTTCCCAAAAGCGTGCCAAAGTTTGGGTAAAATATTGTTCTAGGGACTGGCCCATTTATGCTCCCGACCACTGACTTTGTTGTTAGACCTGGACCTGGAGAGAAAGGGATGGCAGAGAAGCAGGTTCTGCTATCCAAAAGGGAGATGACCTTGCACTTCTCAACTGTCAGGACTACCCAGGGCCCCTTGATATGGATGTCAAGAACTGGAGCCTGGACAGGAGTCCCCAGAACCATCATTCGAGGGAACAATCTGACCTTTTCTGTGAGTGGAGACAGGGACAATGTGGTTACCCTTACAGAGAGGGCAGGGTTCCAGAAAAGGCCAGGGCTATCTCCCAGGCTGCCCCCCATCATGGACACTACCACTTGAAGTGTCCCTCCTGTCCACAATGGAAACAGGTCCTGACATCTGGTCCCCAATGAGAGGGGAATTCTCTAAGAGCCACCACTAGGTCCGTGTGTCTTCTATCCTTTTCTATCTTTCTAGTAAGGTCCTGATTATGGCATACAGAAGTAGCCATCTATACCAGCTGGTCTAACATTTTGTCACCCTCAGCCACAAGCTTTTGAAGTTTTCTACAAATGTCTGGGGACAATTGGGTAAGGAATTTATCTCTTAGGAAGACCTTCCTGACCTGCAACTCAGGATCCACTGTGGTGTGTTTTGTAATGGACTCTTTTAGATTGCTGCAAGAAGGCTGGGGAGGATTCATCGGGTCCTCATTGAACATCAGTAACCTGAAAGTAATTAAGTAGTATGATTCTAGCCCTTTTTAAGCCTTCAATGGTGAGGTGAATGAAATGGTCTAATCCATTCATTGGCCTCACTTTGGGGACCTCATCCAGGATCTGTCTTGGGAACCACTTGGGCCCCAGGTGGGACTCTGGGGCCCTTGGCTTCCCCTTCTGGGGTGTGGGTTTAACAGAGGACTTTTGTAGGTGATAATCATTGCCCACCTGAGTGGCCTGATCAAGGACTCTTTGCTGCTCCAGGCAAGTGAGGGTTTCATCTAGGAGCAATATGACATCTTTCCAAGCCATTTCAAAAGTTTGGATAACAGTAAGGCTTGAATGTACCTGTCTGGGTCTTCAGTAAAGTTGCCCAAGTCCCATTTAATATCCTTAAGGTTGCTTAATCTGAAGGAGACATGGATTCTTTCCAGGTGACCGCCCCTCTCCCGAGGAACTAGATGGAGAGGGTAACAGCTAATGGCTGCTGAGTAAGGAGACAAGGGAGCCATGGGGTTGGGTGGCCACTCTCCTCACTCCACTTGGGTGGAGGGGGGAAAGTAGCTCCCTTAGGGGCAGTTGGGGGTATCTTAGAGGTATTCCCTTCTTTGAGGTATAGAGAAATTCCCCCTCTGCTTTCAGGAGAAAACTTCCTACTGACAGATGGAGAAGGCCAGAGAGTTCTGCTTTTGGCTATTCTACAACAGGGGGCTCTCCTAGTAAGCAGAATCCACAGGAGTACCAGATCACAGTCACTTCCCAGGCAGACTGTCACTGGTTAGGCATAGCTGATATTGACCTTTCACTATGGAGAGAAGAGGATCCAATCTGGGTCACCAAGATGTCATGAGGAAATCCATGGACATGCTAGAAGATTCTTGCTCTCAGAACACTCTTATGAAAAAGAAGCTAGAGCACCAGAGATACAAGCAGGAAAGAAACTTTATTGATAGAGAAAAGCTGGGTGAAGAGATACATAGCAGGGTCCAGAAACTGGGTGCCTCTTGCATGTGGAAGGGTTGAGTTATTTATATATGTAAGGCTTCTGCCTTAACACAAGGAAAAGGGTGTGGTCTTTCTTGGCGAGCATGGGGATTTCTGTATTTCCAGATTTCTTTCACCTGGGCCATTTCCTCTGCTTTTCTCAGGCTGTGGGGACTTCCTTATTCCTAAAATGCCATGGGGCTGATTTATGTTACAGGACTGCTACAAAAAGAGAATGGTATCTAATATTTTAAATGCCCCTCCTAGTATGTTAGGTTTTTTATACTTTATTTTTAGTATTGCTTTACTGGAGGTACATTGTGACATTGGCAAGGTTCCTTATAACTTGTCATAGTCAAATTCACTCCCTCCATCACTCTTCTTTAACCCCTCTCATTCCTGGAATAGTTTGAATAGGTCTCATTTTTCCATTTACATATATGTTTACATAATATTTTTACCATATTCACCATCCTGCATCCTTTCTTTATATCCCCACCTCACCCCCAAGGCAAGATCTGTTTGCCTTCCTGTTCTTTTTATTAAAAAAAAAATGGCACTTTTGTTTGTTTAAGATAGTTATACAAGGTGTTTTATTATGACATTTCCATGTATATATGTATTACAACCCAAATTGGTTCATCCCTTCTATTTTTTGACCCAGACATGAATCACGCAGCTACACCCACTTGATTTTTGACAAAGATGCCCAATACATAAGGATGGAGAAAAGGTAGTCTCTTCAACAAATGTTGCTGGGAAAACTGGATATCTGCATGCAGAAACTGAAATTAGTTCCATGCCTTTCACCCTACGCAAGTATCAACTAAAGTGGATTAAAGGCCTTAATGTAAGTCCTGAAACTGTGAAGTTTGTGTGGGAAAGAGTAGAGAATACACTGGAATTAATAAGCATAAGTAATGACTTCCTAGATAGAACTCAAGTGGTTCAGAAACTGAGAAAGGATTGACAAATAGGACTATAGGAAGTTAAAAAGCTTCTGCATAACAAAAAAAATGGTCACCGCATTGAAGAAGCAGCTCACAGAATGGGAGAAAATCTTTGCCACCTATACAGAATATAGAAGGAGCTAAAAAACTAAACTCCCCAAATAATCAATGACCAATGAAGAAATGGACAAATTAACTGAACAGAGCTTTTTCAAAGGAAGAAGTCCAAAGGGCCAAAACACATATGAAGAAATGCTCAGCATCCCTGGCCATAAAGGAAATGCAAATCAAAACCACATTAAGATTCCACCTCACTTCTTTAGAATGGTTACCATCAAGAAACAAACAATAACAAATGTTGGTGAGGATGGGGGGAAAAAGGAATTCTCATACACTGTTGGTAGCAATGTAAATTAATACAACTACTGTGGAAAACAGTATGGAAGCTCCTCACAAACCTAAAAATAGTACTGCCATATTATCCAACAATACCCTCTTAGGGATGTATCTCAGGTTACTTTAAAAGCACCTGCACACCCATGTTTATTGCAGTATTAGTCACAATAACTAAGCTATGGAAACAACCAAGTTGCCACACTACTGACAAATAGATTATGAAAATATAGTATTTGTATACAATGGAATTTTATAGAGAAGAATGAAATTTTGTCATTTGTTTGTAAATGGATGGAACTGGAGAATATCATTTTAAGTGAAGGTAGCCAGGTTCAGAAAACCAATGGCTGCATATTTTCTCTCATATGTGGAATATAGACCTGATACAAATATAGCAGTACTAGGAAAAACAGGTCACACTAAGGGGAAGTCATATATGTGACAGAGAGGGTAAAAGAAAGGACTAAGGTAGAAAATGTCTAACTTTAACAAATTAGAGAGCAAATCCCAGCACATGAGCTCTCCTTTATACCAGCCTCATGTTGCTGCAAGGTGAGCAAGAACTGAAAGAACTTCAGGAAGAAAACAAGGCATATAGAAAGAGACCAGAAATTCTTCTAAAATAAAATAGCAGAAAGAATATTTTACTCTGAATCAAAAAGAAAAACAGGAGGAAAGGAATGAGTTAGGAAGTTAAAAGGAAACAAAACAAAGAAAGGAAAGATTTTCTAGAAGTGATCATAACAATCGGGGAGGTGATTAGAAGCATGCCTGGTTTGTGGGGGACACTTGACAAACCCACAACTTGTATGGAAGAAAAACATGGAAAGAAGGGAGGAAAAAATTTGGGATATTGGATAATGCAGAGAAAACAAGCAAAAGGAAAAAATTAGCTCTACAAAAGCAAAAGCAAACGTTAAACCATATTTGAGGATATCCAAAATGTAACACCAACAAAATAACAAATTTCCCTAAAAGGAACTTTCTCACATTGGCTAAAAAAAATTTCGTTAATTTCACTACCACAAAAATTAAATGAGACAAAGAGTAATAGGCAATGCTTAACCTAACATTTAAATAATCTTTGATTTAGTATTGAGAGTTATACTACATAATTTGTATTTTCCTCAGAAGGAGAGGAGGAAAGCAAAGTTTAAAAAAATTATATTCCTCACATAATTGATCTTCCAATCATTGATGAACCCAATCTAGAAAGGTAAAGGCTAACAGCTATCAAAGAAGATTAATTCATGCAAAACAAAATGGAAAATGTGATATTGGACATTAAGTGACTGACAAAAATTCTCTTGTAGATTAACCAAGTTTATTAGGTCAACAGAGAAACAAGCTCCTATGAAAGTCTTCATGGCAGTTGCTCTGACACCATCCTTGTGATGAAAGCAGAACCATGATGTCTCAGCTGAATTTCATTCTGTCCCACTTCAGGAGGAAATGCTGGGAATTGTTAGGTTCCACACATGTCAACACCAGACCATACTAGACTTGTATTGCAGGATCGTCATCCACCAGGAAATAAGGGGTTCAGAATTGGTGAATCTTAATGTCCAAGGTAGAATGGGTGAGAGTCTCCCATGGTGTCCTCAATAGTAGTAGCCAAATCCAGAGCCATAGCCAGAGCCACAGCCATAACCACAGCCACAGAGAGAACGGGAGCCATAGCCATAGCCACAGCCCAGGCCGCCATAGCCATAGCCCAGTCCATAGCCATAGCCCAGGCCTCCATAGCCACAGCAGCCATAGCCACGGCCGCCATAGCAGTTTCCATAGTAGCTGCCACACATGGTGTTGGTTGTTGAGGTTGTCCTTGGGTAGAGAAGGAGTGTTGTGACTTGAGTCTGGACACTTCTGTCTGCAGAGGGCCTTTTATATGTCCTCGGTGTGGGTGGGACCCACAACATGTGCCTATGCCATTGGCTAAATTGCAAAACCAATCTAAGTAATTTGTTGACTCAAAGCTGGCCTTGGGGCTATTTCCTGGCTTTTAGCCACATCTAAATTACCTGTGAGGTTTTGTTTTGTTTTTTTTAATGAGAATCAATGTCTCACCTTCAATATACTACTTAGACCAGGTAGTTAAATTGTTTTTTGTAGCCTGCCTTTATGGCACTCTGACCTGCTGTAGACAACCAATAATTTTACCTTTTGTTTTCTTGATATCCAGCAGGTCAAGATAATCTCCTTTAAAGTTAAGCTTCTCCATTTCTTTCCTGGAGTTTTAAATATGTTCTCCTTTTACCCACCTTAGGGACTTGCTTCATTTTTCACATAATCAATGTTTTATTTCTGAAATTCATAGTCTTTCACAGAGTTCAAGTCAATCATTTGAAACTCTGGGACACAAGCCTATGAAACCTAATTTTCTTTTACATTTATTCAACGTTTCATTTTTACTCTGTTTTTATAGCACCAATTTTTCCAACATTTCTAAACTTATACCTTGAAGTCATAAACAGAAAGTGGCAATGTTGGGATTCCATTTTATTTATAGAACTACATTTTCATGAAATAGATTTCTTTAAATTTGAAGACATTTGCTGTGTTTATATTCTGGCTCAAAGGTAAATATAAACATTTCTTTATTTAAAACAATAATAATGTCAGAGATATTTTTTCAGGGAAACCTAATAATTTTCACCAATAAACAAGGAATTTTTGATTAGGTCTTAGACTATGACAAAATCATTTTCACTGGCCAATCTTACTTTTCTATACAATGAAGCTTGAAGCTAACTCACTGCCTAAGTTTGTGTTTTTGCCAGATGACTTCATAGTAAGTACAACATAGAAGATAGAGATACTCTTTCGGAATGAGCTCTCCAGGTATAAATCTTACCTTGGCCACTTACAGCTGTGCCTGTCTCAGTTGCCCATGATCTGTTGACATGGTAACAATAATACCCTCCTCACCAGGCAATTTGAGAATTAAATTAGTCAGTCCAAGCCAGGCGCTGGTGGCTCACGCCTATAATCCTAGCTACTCAGGAGGCAGAGAACAGGAGGATCACAGTTTGAAGCCAGCCCAGGCAAATAGTTCGTGAGATCCTATCTCAAAAATACCCATCACAAAAAGGGTTGGCTGAGTGGTTCAAGGTGAAGGCCCTGAGTTCAAGCCCCAGTACCACAAAAAAAATTAATCAGTCCATTTTAAGCAGTGTCTGGCACATAGGAGGGTATCAGAATAATGCTTTTTGCTTTATACTGAAAGGAGAGCTAGAGTGGAAGCCTTGAAATAGAGATCGCCAGAACCTTGGAAAGCTACTTCTAAGAATGACTGAAAGCAGACAGTCCAGCCCAGAAACAACTGTCCTGGAAAGATAAAGAACCGTGAGCCTTCCCACACCCGTCAAAGGGGAACCCGGTTTTTGGACCAGCTTCTTGAGACACTCCTCAGTTTAAGAGTGACCTTTTACTTTCTCTTCATGGAAAATAAGTCTTTCTTGCTTTCACCTTGCTGGAGTTTCTATCATTAATTCATTAATGCCTTAGAAAATGAGACCTGTGTTGGCCAAGCACAGTCTACCCATGCATCATTTCCATTTCTTTTATGAATATAAGGTTTAGTGGTGAGTTGAGTTGAATAAGAGCACAAAACATGTTAATCTTCAGTTAGTAGACTTATGTCATTGATGCATAGGGGACAAGAAATCCTACATTAAGACTATTCATTTAAAAGTAGAGAATATTACACTTCAGTTTTCCTAAAGAGTTGGTTTCACTGACTTCCCCAACAAACAGCATGAGCAGGTAGGTGCACAGTGACTAGGTGGGTGTCTACCCAGGTGGACCTCTCAGGTAAACTCACTGAGTTCCCTAGCACAACCAAGAAGACCCACAGGATGTAGCTTTGGTCCACCAGTTGTTTCATTACCACAGTGGAAAATGGTGATACACAAGCTATACACAGATGCCAATAAGGACAGATGAAGGTGCTCCCTCCCAGTTGACAGCAGGCCACTGTGCATTACAGTTCACGTTAAGAGGAGGGAAGCATGGAAATTTTTAATGCAATTATGCTTTAATCTTGACAGCTAGAAAGTCATCAAATTTTTTTCTATTTACCTGAAAGTATAAGAATGATATTTTGTTACCTAGTAGAAATCATGAATTTAAATAAATTTTTGTAGTACAAGAAAATTAACTTTCTGTGTGCATTTACAAAGCTGCATCTATAAAGTATTGTGTACATATAGTAAAACGAATGGGATCTAGAAAGAGATATTGGGCAAAATTAGATCTTGTACTTTTGATAAACCCCAAAGCCATACATTCCTCAGCTGCAGTTGTTAGAAACCCCAGAGTAATTCTAAGCCTAGAACAATTTGAATCTATTGCTGTTCACACAGTTTCCATGACTTAATAGAGTCTCATCATGGAATGTTAATTTTAGCTCTTAATGAGGAAGGGCTCAAAATGTAAGTTTGAAAAAACCTGCCATTCCAACAAAAAACTTGTGAAAATCTTGACTTAACTTTAGAAGTATCTTACCGATAAAGGCTTCACTTAGCCTAATGAAATAAGAGATTTATGAGAGTGTTACTGTTGGTATTATTTGTGGTTTGTGCAAAATAATTTCTAAAGAAGGCAACATTGGCTATGATTTGCCACACCTACTCATGAAGAAGTCTATAAGACCTGTGAAGATGGTGTTGTTCAACCTCAGGAAACTGCTTTTTCTCTCCCACCACTTCTATGCTGTGGTGGCCTGGGCTGTGGCTATGTCTGCAGACAGTGGACATGGCTGCTGCCACCCATCTTGCTGTGGAAGGTACTGGTCCTGTGGATTCTGCTGAAAAACCCAGAGTCTGAGTTCACTGGATATGTCTTGAAAGATGATAACGTCCTTTAAAATGTAACAAAAATTTTCCTCTTGATCTCTAAGTATTTTCAATAAATTTAATCTGGTTGCAAATATTATGTAATTTCATGTTTACTTTTAGCACCAATTTTGCATATGAATGAATCTAAGGTAGAAACAACTATGTAAATTACTATCCAAAGGTTTGGCATTACTTCCTCCATTCTTTTCTGTTTATTTTTTGTCCCTCTGTCAATGTCATGTGCTACTTAAATGAGAAGAGGTGGGCTACACAAGAAGGAAGATGAATATGACTGATGCAATCTCTACACAAGAATGAATACAGGATTTTTAAACTGGTTGAAATCACCATAAGAAAGAGACTTAAGATATAAAGAAGAAAAATAGAGAAGCTGAACCAAATCAGAGTGTAATACATATATACATGGAAGTGCCACAAAGAAACTCCCTGAGTAGCTATCTTAAATAAGAAAAAATGTCAATTTTTAAAAATGTTTTTCTTGTATAAAATTGGAGAATAGGAGGGCAGAATAGGTCCCACCTGGTGTGGTTGGTACCAGTGGGAGGAGGGAAGAGATGCCGAAATGTTGAAGGAGGATGATAATTATACAAATACTGTATATACATGTATGTAAATGGAAAAATGATATCTGTTGAAACTTTTCCAGAAAGGCAGGGAGGGAGGGGTGAAGAAGAATGATGGCGAGGTGAATTCAAGTATGATATATTTGTTATATTTTAAGAACTTTTATAAATGCCACAATGTATTTCCACGAGCACAACAATAAAAAAAAAGTAAAATTTGAAAGGGCTCAGCTTCCACATGAATACAGTTGACAGCTTCCTCCTCATATAACTTTGGCTACTTCTTTTTTATTGACAAACAAGGATTCAAAACCAAAGTCTGGTGGCTGCATTCCAACTGTCCTTGTCTCCTCAGAGCACAGAGAAATAGCCCCACATTTTAAGTGATGCTTCTGTGAGATTTCCAAGCTGTCTGTTCACTCATTGCTTTCTAGAAGTTTTATCAAAAGATAGCATCTCATTTCCCTGATGTCTTTCATGTAGATCCTATGTCCAGGTTGAAAAAAGATATGAGGAGTGCTGTGCAAGCCTTAAGAAGCTGGATTATATATATATATATATATATATGACAGATCATTTTGAGATCATTTTGTTTATGAATCTATATCATGTATTTTTTCATTTATTCAGTCAATTATTCATTCTTTAACCAGCTCCTAAAGTACACCAGAATTGCTGGCATTTAAGAGAGATCATTTTGTAAATGGGTATTTCAGCTGGTTTATGTTGTGATGCTATTAAAATTTATATGCACTAACCATATATAATCTTCTTTGTATAATAAAAAATGTGAAACAGAATATTCTATTATGATCTAGTATTTTTTATGTAAAGTTTTTATATGGATTTTCCCACCATTTATGTGGAAATAAAACCTCTCTCAATTAATTTGTAAAACCAAACTGTCAACATCAAGCAAAATGGGTAATAATGACAAAATTCTCTGGACATGAGAGAACTGGATTCCCACCATTTCCTGTCTCTTCATTCACTTCAAAACTTACTGAAAAAGAATTGTTTGCAGTCACCACATCCATTCCATTCCTCATATTTCCTCATCCAGTAAAAATTGGTTCTTTCCTCTGTATCTCCATTGAGACTGAGCTAATTGTAGTCACTGATGACACCAATGTCCCCAAACCTAATAGTTTTCTCTTTTTAATTTTCTCCCTCCCAGGAGCATTCTAATCAGTTAACTTTGCTCCTGCTTTGATGTCTTTAGGTATTGTTTGTTCAGTGATTGCAATTTCCTGGCAGTCCTCTAATCTCATCGGATGCTCCTTTTCAAGTTTGTTTGCTGCTTTCCTCCTGTATTCACCCTCTAAATATTGATACACTCCAGGTTGTGACGTGGGCTTTCATTTTTCCAAATTTTTTGGGAATTTGACTTTTACTGCTGTATTCCCAAATCTTAAAACAACATTTGGCACATAGTAGAAACTCAATAGACATGTATAAAATGAACACATACGTTCTCCAGTTTCTTAGAAAACATGA